TATATATATATATATATATATATATATATATATACTGACTGTTTTCAACTAAAGCTAATATTGCAAAAGGATTGTTAAACACAGAAACTGGTTAATGTTTCAGAAAATAAAGCTAAAGTAATAATTAACTTTTTCAATTTTTCCAAACTTTGCAATGGAAACATTTAAGGTCACAGATGTAAACCTCTAACAGTCTTTGTTGATGTGTGTTATTAGTGCATGAAGTAATTACCATTGATATTGCACAAAAATTTGTATTAACAACTTTTTTGTACCTTTTACTACATGTTAAACAAACTGGGAAGAACAAGATTATAGTCATATTTACTTGTGGTTATTTTTTTTATATTACACATAACCCAATACACTAGTGCCATTATGTAGCCTCAGTTGAGCTTTAAATATAATGCCTTTGGCAAATCATCCAAAATATCTTTACTAAGTCACAATTTATAGCAGTTTAACCTGAAAAAGGCATTCAAATATATTTCATTTCAAAATGATAATAAAATAGGAAAAATGTTAAACAAGTTGTACCAAGAATAAATTCAGTGACTCCTCTTCTTTAGTTTGAAAGTGACCATGTCCATCTACCCTGTACCATCTATCTGTGCCCAGGACCAGATCAGTGACTGGTTTGACAGTTTAGCAGAGTGTCTTCACTGGAATGTACGCAGGAAACAGAGGCAGTTTGACGAGTACTCTGACCTTGTTCACAGTTCCAGCAACTACACAATAGACTCCCATGATAGACAAATGAAAATAGACAGCTAGGTAAGAATTTTTCAGTAAAGCAAGTAGAAAATAACCTTTAGACTAATTCAGGTCTGAAGAAAACTATATACATGTAAGTCCTTGGATGGGCAGTGACAGATACTTCTGTCGTGAACATTTGATGTTTGTAGGTGAAAAGCATTTCCCACTGACCATTTGAACTTTGTGCAATATATTATCCTGTACCAGAGAGGATAATTTAACATGACTAATAAAGTTATGACCATTAACATTAGATCCTGGTCATGACGTATTTCAGTCGCTATCCATAAGTAGAAAGGTTTACTGTTTTTAATACATTTACATTGAACATTTCTTATTATCTAGACTCTGGCTGAATTATATAAGTTATTTATTTGTGTTCAATGTTCTTTTACGATAAATGAGAATATATCCAGGCTTAACAGTATATGTATTTGTATAAGGTATAGCTGTGATGCATGACCAATGTCAGATATATTCTTGTACTTCAAAACCCTTACTTCTACTATTTGTTTTAGCAATATAAATTTTTAAAAAATATCATTAAATTACCTTCAATTAAATCAAGACTATCCTTAAAAACTTTTATTATTTTTTATTTAAAGTTTTCTTTCATAGATACATATTTTTAATTGATGATCAGTAAGATAAGTACTGAATGAATACTCAGAAATTTTAGTATGGTATAATACGTATCCGTTATTTCTAACAGAAATAACCTTTGATAACGGCAGAAGACATGCACAACTTATGCTGTTAAGGATCAACTTGGTGTGGTCCAAAAAGCACTATACAGTAAGGAATCTTTGTTCCCCATGAAGTTGGCAATGCAGGTGATGTTTTTAGTTACACACATTCTACATCTAACAACCAGCTCTTTATTTGATACATTTGTTTATTACTGTGATCGTGGTATTAGTAATTTGTTTATATAACATTGTAAACTTTTAAAACAATTAGTTTGTTTACCAACATAATTGGAAAAGTTTGTACTTTGTTATTGACAAGCAACAGTTCTAAATACAGTTAAACACTACATTTGAAGTGGGATATAATTAAGTCTAACCTGAAGCATCTGTGTAGATATCATTTCAAGATCCACCTTTTTTTTTCCCCATCTTCGTGCCTAAACTTTGATAGGTTTTTAATAGATAATTATAGTGCTTTGGTCTCTTAGCCAAAAGTTTTGTTAGAATGGGTGCATTTGACAAATTAAATACTAAAGAAGCTTTACTTCAAAATGTGAAAAACCATTCCTTAAGGTTAGTGTTACAGTGCTTATCTAGTAATGTGTGTAAAAATGTCTAATTTCTGTTGTTTTGTAAATGTGAATCACAATTCTTCCATAGCCGTGAAAAATGTTGTATGATATTCATTTCAGTGAGAAAATTATTTGTATTTCTCACAACTGGTGCAAGAGTTACCAGCACTTTATGGAATACTTTTAAATTATATATTCCTACTTTTTAAAGAAAGTTGTTTGCTACAATAGCAAAAAAGTGGAAGTATCAGTGATTTTTGTATTAACTTTTTTATAGTTATTTATATTGTAGTTTTAGTACCCAACAGGGATAAAAATTGTTACGAATTTCAATGTAACAGTATTAATCAGAGATGTTTTGTCATAGGTGTCAACATAGTGTTTTGATGTATGTTGTTTTAGACTTGCTGGTGCTTGTACATTAACCCTTCAACTGCGATTGACATCATATGATGTTAACGTAGACGACTGTGATGAACATCATATGATGCAAGCATTTTACACAATATTTTGAATGGCCTGCCTCAAAAACTTGCAAATCTTTGCATATAGGGTAATAGGCAGATTTACACAAGCCACAAGCAAAGGGTTAAACGCACGTGGAATTTTCATGAGCCATACACTCCATACAGCACACTCACATTAAACTGCTGGAGGCAGACTGTACCCTATATGATGAATCAGCAGTCAATTGGTTAAAAACCTTAGAAGGCAGCATAATTATTGATCATATATATTGGTTTCATTTAACTAGGTTTTAATATCATAATGAAGGCAGACTATGTTATGTTTGGTTTTAACAATATTTAATGTTTCTCTTTAAATTTACAAGTATACTAATGTGTAGATTCTATTTTATTTTGTACTAGCTAAAACTGTAGAAAGAAACACGTGTAATCTTTATCCCTTCACATAATGATTTCAAGTATGGAAACTAGGCACGTGGTACCTGAAAAGAAATTTAAGTTTGAGTTTTTTTATATTTTAATAACTGGATTTTACCAGTTCTGATATTTCAAAGTTTCTACTTTGTGTTGGTGTTAAACAAAGTTTATGGTCTTTATTTTTGGTACAAGATGTAGTGTGAAAAATAGATCAAGAATCATAACATCAATAGCATTATGTTTCGATGACAATAATGTTTTTCAGCTGCACTGTAAATTAAAAGATGCCATTTTAAACAAAATTATAAAATTCTGTGTGAAAATGATAAATCTTAGAATCATCAGTGTCTGAAAATATTTAGTTATATTATTATGGTTTAAAAAAATGCATCTTATGTTTTTTATAAAAAAAAAACTAAATCAACTAATAAGCAAAAATCCTATTTCATTTTTTCCAAATGGCTGTAGTTAGTAAATAGCAATAGTACATGGTTTGTTTGCATTAAATTGTAACTAAAACCTTTAACAGGATTATTAACTTTTTCTAATGAGTATTTACATATTTACATCTGTTAATATAATTATTTAAATTGTAATACACAAAATCTGTAGGTATGTATTTTATTTTTTCATGAAATAAATTTTGAATATTAGGAAGTTTTGTTTGTTTTCTTGTTGAGCACAAAGTTATGCTATGGACTATCTGCTGTTCCCCACCTCGGAATCAAACTACAGAAGCTAGGAAAAAGCAAAAACATTCACACATTAAAGTGATAAATGCAAAAAAGAAAAACATTTATAAAATGAAGTATTATGAGGTATATCTTAGTAGTTAAGGTGCTAGGCTATGTATCAGAAGGTCCAAGGTTCACACTGTTGTGGTATTAAGTATTCTCCACTCTAGATGCATTAAAGAAGTAAGAGTCAACTCCTTTTTTTCAATTCAAAGTCCTTGGGGTAAGAGATGCTGCTGACTGTCTACCTTTCCTCTAGTCAGCCAATGCACATAAAGTACCATTCAAATTTAAGATGTACATACCTGTGTGTGTGTGTGTGTGTGTGTGTATAAATTATCATGTAGAAGTAAATAATGTTTAAAACGAATTTCCTTTTCTTGATAATGATATATAGTTAATACCATTCATATCTTACGAGAAATTTACATGGTAATTTAAGAAAAACACTATTTATAGCAGTAAGTGGTTTTTGATTTGTTAGTAATTTAATGCCATTTTGAGAATGCTATACGACCTTTGGTGATTTTTGTTTTACCAACACTATAAAATTTTACAGTCTCAATGAAATATACTTACACATTACTAAAAGCTGGGCATCTTGACTTAATATTTGAAGCTTACAAAAGAATGTCAAAATGTTGACTAACTGAAGAACTGTATTAGCTTCGTGCCTGTACAGAGACTCCCAAGTGGGATTGTTGCATGAATGAAAGTATCCGAAAAAGGAATTTTAAAATAATTTTCAACTTTCACAGGAAATCGATAACTTGATTTCTATACTTAAAAAATAATGTTATCCATATATCTTGTATTATTAACACTAAAGTTTAAATCTTAAAAACCCAACTAATATAACCATTGTATACATGGAAATAAAAGTTAGCCAGGCCAGGGCCTAGACTAGAACACCCTTAATTAATTCATAATCTCATTATTAAAGATAAGCTAATGGATTTTTTGGCAGGTATCTCTAATGATACTGTTATCTTTATGAATCAGATTAACAGCCAAATCACAAGTTCAAGTGAAATGTTCTAAGTAAAGTCATCACATTTAGATACATTTTGTGAATTTTTCATCTATTCAGCAATAGTAGAAAAGGTGAATGATAAAAAAGAAAAGCTTTCAGTTTTATAAAATTACTCTTGATTAACTCAAATGTTATCACCGATTCAAAATCGCAGAATTATTTTTAATTATGTTCAAATATAAAGTAAACATAAAAAAAAATGTTTTTTGAAGATATTTTTTTTATATATAAAATAAAATCTCCATTAAACACTATTTTTTTTCATAATTAAAGAATTCTTTTTAATACTTCCCTGATCTATGTGCTGCATAAGGTGCTGTTCAGGTTGAAAATACCAGTTGTACATATTGAAATGTTGAACAGGTTGTACTGAAAAGCTTGTTCACTATTTTAGAATTTTTATTTCCAAATAATTACTAATTAAAAAATATTAAGTGTTTATAATAAATCTTACAAAAATATTTACATTTAAAATTATAGGTTAAAAATTCAAATTTTATTCCATGTGTATGGAAAACTATTTCTTAAATTTTTTTTTAATTCGCTATTTGAATTCAGGAAATCAATTACACCAGGAGTAAAGACATCCATGCAAGTCAAACACCATGGGTTTTTATCAATATTAATAAACAAGTCAGAATGCTTTGGAAAATAAACCTAATTAAGGCAGATCTCAAATTTCCTGATGTAATTGCACACTGAGTAATTCAACAGTTAATCTTACTTGTATCAGTGCTGTCCATTTTTTCCACTAATTATGAACCAAAACTTTAACATTGGGAACAAATATAAAGAAATGGATGCAAGTCTTTACATCCTTATGAGACAGGTTTATATTAAATCGGAGCTTAGTTAAGTGTAGGTTCTCAAAATGTTGCACTTCCTGTAACAGGCATCTTAACTACATCCAATTTGTTCTCTTCATGGCCTTAGACTGAAGTTCACATACGGCAAGGATGTGTACTATAAAAAGTTTCTCGGTACCTAATACAGCTCTGTGCAAGACATATATTGGGCCAATTACCATCAGAAAGTCATGATTATATTCCGTTTCCAAGGCTCTGAATAATCTAAGAAAATGTAAACAAACTATATTTCTATAATGTACTTTAACTTTTACTCCATACTTTTTAAATTTAGAATAGCTCTTGTTTTTTATAAATTCCTGTTACTACACAACTTACCTTGCACTGTTATGATATTGGACATCATTTTTCAAAGATAATAAATAAATATATCTTTTAACAGCTATGTTTTTTTCATTGATGTTTTAGATTTGTGCACAGAAGAAAGGATTATCTTGTATTCGTGATCTCGGAAACACACGTAGGTTCAAGAAGTCTTGATACCGGATGATAAAAACCCTATAACCTGAGTGTTTTCAAAAGGTGAAAGGTCCACCTTTTGAAAGTGCTTGGGTTACAGGGTTTTTACTGTTTTCATGACAAATGATTGGTATTGGACTTTGTGTGTTGGTTTTCTTAGTAAACTTTTTTTTTTCCAGAGCCTCGTCACTAGTTGATTCATAGAATGCAAAGATATCCATTTATGGTTTCCTGTTTTCATAAAATATGTATCAATTCTGACATATTCTCATTTCAAAGGTTAAGGTATCAAGTATCACAAAAAAGTTGTTTTAAATTAATCATTTTAACAAAAGTCAGAGCCTGCTGATACTAGTGAAAACAACCAGTAAGTACTGTATGTTTCACAGAGGTATTATATAAAAAAAAAAACTAAGAAGTCCAGATGAACAGTGACATTACAAATGTGGTAAAAACTCTTATTTGTCAAGAAACAATTCAGTTATGTCCATATAAAGTAGTCTACTATAGAACATCTTGCAAGGTTCTGTAAATACTATAAAAATTATATAAACACACACACATACACAGTATCTTTACAAGCTAACAAAATTTATTGAACAAATAACATTCGATAAAGTGTAAACACAAAGAGTCCATATAAAGTAGTCTACTATAGAACATCTTGCAAGGTTCTGTAAATACTATAAAAATTATATAAACACACACACACACGGTATCTTTACAAGCTAACAAAATTTATTGAACAAATAACATTCGATAAAGTGTAAACACAAAGATCCATCACAACGTTCACCTGAGGAAGCTCTTGTAAAGCTCTAATTTCTTGCATGTATGTGCTTCTATAAATACAGTCTCACTATTAAAAGTGTACTACAATATATTCATTACATTAACATACAAAGCAAAAGTTTTTGCCAATTTTCTTGAATAAAGGTTTCAAGCTAGTGTTTTAGTCCTGAAAAAATCTCTCAGATTATACTCCATTCATTGCTTACAACAAAAACATCTATTTTATTTTTGGTAGTGTTTACACAACCTATTAAAATATTTGACAGATTTGCTTATTGTAACCATTAGCATCAGATATTTGCCCCACATTAATAATACAAACCTAAATGATTCTCTTCCATTGGTGTGGAAAAAGGCAGAGTTGATAACCTTTAAGCTAAGGATACTTTTTCAGCTCCAAGCAGGTATTTGTATTCTCAGAACTGTGAAACTGTACCTGCATTTGTTTTCAAAACATGCCATGTATTAATTAGCTAACAATTAAATTTTTCCCTTGCTAGAATGAAAGGGTTTAAAAGCCACATTTTTCTCTGGGGCGTTCGATGTGTAAACAGCTCCTAAGCAACACTACTAAATCGGCTAATTTACGTTTAAACTCCTTGGGCTGATTCTGATAATTCAGCACAAAGAATTACACAATGTATTAACTGTTTTATCCAGTGATTTCACTATGAGAATAAAAGTTGGGACATTAAAACATCACAACTTATTTCGTTTCAATAATAAGACAAGTTTCTTTGAAACATTTATTTTTAATTCAATGTTATGATAATAATGCTTGAGTATAATACATGATAGAAGTTTGGGACTAAGAAAACAGGCCTTGAATAAAAACCTACTGTTAATTCTACTATACAGTAAATTCACATAAATTAACAACTAAATCAGTCACTTAATTCATGATCATTTTCGGCAACTAGTTTTCTAACAGTTCTTAAAAATGTGTAATGAAACTCTGAATATATGGTTTGATCACTTAATAAAAGTTAAAGTAATACTGCTGAATTCTCTGAAAATACACTAAAATAAGGGTAAGTTCAAATTATGTTCATATTTAGTGGCAATGATATACAAATGAACAAAGATTAAGGTACTTATACTTCAGCTATATTTATAATACATAAAAACACTGAAACATGGTGAACTTACAGCATTATACTATTATAAATGGAGTAACGAGGCCTGCATAGTCCATATCTAGAGTAAATAACCTACTATGAGTCTTAACTAGAGTATTTGCTAAGCAACTTGTTAGAGTTACCTATATCAGAAATTATAGTAACATACACAGCAAAGATGAAACGTTAAAGACTTATTTAACCCTTTCAAACACTTTTCTGTGCAAGTCACTGAGTTACATTAAAAATTTAATTAAACAACTTTACTATCAATGTATGTGAATGAAATTAACATTATAATATATTTTATGATTCAAAGTTTTAATTTCTTTGTTTTAATAGAAACCTTATGAAAGATACTTAAAACTTCAGTTGTGTTGTCATGTGGGTTGCTACATGTAGTTGCTACATATACATGTTTATTGTCATTAGAAAGTGATCATTTTACACTATAATCCAACAGTGGTTATTTTTAAAACGGTGCTCAGTTGTCATCATGTGGTACATGTAACTGGCTGCTTTATCCACAAAAGTACTTAGTTTTTCTTATGTAAATATGTTATAGTTATAGAGATAATTAAATTGTATTTAGGTTTTACTTTCATATCTTAGTAAATTATGTATTATTTATGTTCTAAAATGCATAACTGAAAGGTTTAAACATTTTTTAAGTATGCATCAGACATCGTATGAGATCTCAAAACTTAAGATCTTGCACGAAGGTAAAATAATTTTGCCAATGGCTTGTGCATCTCTGCTGGAGATACTGTAATTATGCTCCAAGAGCACTGTTGACTTGTTCCAAGGTGAGTAATAAAGGACAGGAAAGGAAAATAAAACATTAAGAATTAACTATATATGAAAAGGAAAAGACACGAATATATAAATATCACCAAAAGAAGATTTTTTAAGATATTCTATGAAAAATTAAAAGGTACGTATACTTTCCTATTTCTTGATTTTAAACATTTCATTGCAGTGTATGTTTATGATAATATCTGTAGTTAGTAATAGGGTAGAGAAAATGAAAAATAAAATATGAAAACTATAACATGAAGAAAAGTACTGTAAAACTTAAAAATAAAATCATGTTGCACTTGAGTGTAAATAACTACAATAGATAAATAACATATTTTTAGTAGAAAATCAAAACAACTTCATTCTTTGTGTATATGATACTTATAATCTTTAACAAACTCCGTGAGGATACGTTAAGAAATCTCAGAGTTACAGTACGTATTGTTGCACAAGTGAAAGACCCCTGTAAGTTACAGGCACTCGTATTGAAAGGGTTAAACATTTCAATAATAATGCATTTGAAAAGCAAGGAATTAAGTGATTTGGCCACACAGTGAGAATGCAGCCCAACCAACCAGCAGCACAAGCACGTAATATGAAAATAACAGGATTCAAAGCAAGAGGGCGACTTGGGAAAAGGTGGATTGGAGGTGTGACGGAGACTCGGACTAAACACAGCCTTACACTGACCCAGACCTCTCACTTTACCTTAGAATTGTAGCCGTATCTCCCTGCAACATTTACTGGCAGATGGGGAAAAAAATAAAGTAATAATATTAATACATTCACATGAGTACAAGTTGAAATTTTTTGGGTTAATTTCTTGATGTTATAATTTCTTTTACCAGTAATCATACGGTAAACACACCTTTTACAAAATGTAAAATTTCTAAATTTAAGTGTTTGGTGAAAACAAATCACAGGATAACAACAGGTTGAAAAATTGTACAAGTTTAACAATGGATATTAAATTTTGATAACGTTATCTGTCCCAACTTCTATTTTTCCAGAAGCACATTTTTATCTTGCAATGTGGATTTAACTCCCTCATGAAACAACATGACAAGTACACGATTTTAATGTTAATTCCTACTTCACATGTTCTGTAGTTTAGTTTAATGTAATTTAGAAGCATGGTAATCGAGCATTTTCAGCTCTGTAGATGTAAAGGTTAACATCTCACCATAAAAATCTGATTTAATATATCATGTTACAAAACTAGTGCCGTGAACATATAAGCATGCTGCACTGAAGTTAAAAAATATGCTCTAATATTTTCTGAAAGCTTATTATTATCATATAGAACAAGAAAGAATGTTACTTTCATGCTTTCTACTTGAAAACCAAAACAAACATTACTACTATAGACAGAACCACATCAGTAAAGATTAAAAATGTTACTTATGTGCCGAACAAAAGAAAAGTTCATCAGAAACACCATAAAATTTAACTGGAATAAAAAAACCAAAATTATAACTTTTTTTTTATGAAAACCATTAACATTAACACAAATACACACACAACGTTCTATCAATAAACAACATTTAACCAAACACACTGATCAACGGTTTATGCTACATGTACTGAAAGTACTCTAGATTAATGGGAACCCATACTCCATCATACTCCAAACTGTATGCTAACATCTACAAGAATGAAATACTTGCAGAATATCATTATTAGATGAAATTCAACCACCAGACATTCACTGTTATGGAAGGTAATACCTGAAATTTTAATATTTTATTATGCAAGCATTTATTAAATATCATATGATTGCAGTACTTTCTGAGCTGATGTTCAATGTGCAATCAACAGCTGATCATACACAGTCAACAACTTATAAAAAAAAACATCGTTACAAGAAAAGCATTAACACTAATCTGCAGTCACACAGCATTAACAAGCTGTAACTCAAAACGATGTTGGTTGCAAGTACTTCAAGTGTGTTAAACTAATCTGCACAATAAATTCAGTGGTGGCAGCTGTTAATGTTCCATACATTAACATGCATGTGTAATCATTCTGTTGATCAGTTTACATGTACAACCATTCCGTTGATCAGTTTACAAGTGTAACCATTCCGTTGATCAGTTTACAAGTGTAACCATTCCGTTGATCAGTTTACAAGTGTAACCATTCCGTTGATCAGTTTACAAGTGTAACCATTCCGTTGATCAGTTTACAAGTGTAACCATTCCGTTGATCAGTTTACAAGTGTAACCAATCTGTAGATCAGTTTACATGTACAACCAATCTGTAGATCAGTTTACATGTACAACCAATCTGTAAATCAGTTTACATGTACAACCAATCTGTAAATCAGTTTACATGTACAACCAATCTGTAAATCAGTTTACATGTACAACCAATCTGTAAATCAGTTTACATGTACAACCAATCTGTAAATCAGTTTACATGTACAACCAATCTGTTGATCAGTTTACATGTACAACCATTCTGTTGATCAGTTTACATGTATAACCATTCTGTTGATCAGTTTACATGTACAACCAATCTGTTGATCAGTTTACATGTACAACCAATCTGTTGATCAGTTTACATGTACAACCAATCTGTAAATCAGTTTACATGTACAACCATTCTGTTGATCAGTTTACATGTATAACCATTCTGTTGATCAGTTTACATGTATAACCATTCTGTTGATCAGTTTACATGTACAACCAATCTGTTGATCAGTTTACATGTACAACCAATCTGTTGATCAGTTTACATGTACAACCAATCTGTAGATCAGTTTAAATACATACATTTCTATAATATATGCTTGTTGTAAATCTATGATAAATAGATAAATAAATAAAATAGAAAGATTCATTGGAATGAAACCATAAAATATACAGTAACCACAATAAAGACAAAAACATATGTTCAAACAATGATGAAACTTTACCACAAAAATTGTGCTCAGATGATAATTATCTACATAATGATTTTATATTAACTTGAACTCTTACGTCATTTCTTAACAGAAAAAGTCTATTTACTGAGTATGTTTTTATACCTTCTGATTAGATTTGAAATTACATTATTTTCCCCTTAATGGTTTTAAATTAACTTGAACTCTTACGTCATTTCTTAACAGAAAAAGTCTATTTACTGAGTATGTTTTTATACCTTCTGATTAGATTTGAAATTACATTATTTTCCCCTTAATGGTTTTAAATCATATACTTCTAGGGAATGATATTAATGTCAAATAAGTTTTTGAATTTGGTAAATGATGAGCTTAGAAATACATATCTAAGTAGTATAGTTCAATTTGAATTGAAATTATCTGACTAAAATGGTTTGAAAAATAATTTAAAACAGGTTAATAAAAAGCTAAGGAGTACCTACAAAAAAAAAAAATTAAATGCAGCCTAAGTTAAATATTCACATTTTTTATAAATAATTAAGTAGAAAAAAGCTCATTCTGAACTCAAGCCAAGAAAGAATGCATAGTAATAATTCAAAAACTTATATCTAGCCTAGAAAGGAATGAACACGATAATAAATTAATAAAAACAGTACAAGTTAGAAGATCAACAGAGTTCAACAATATGTACCCAAGACATACAGCCGTAGTTCACATTCAAACGGCTGAATTACAGGTGCAGTTACTTATGTAACACATTCACTGATACAACTACTGCTCCAGCTCTTAAGAGAAGTTACTTTGTTCTTGTTTTTCAGTTATACCTAGGCCTTGATATCAATAACAACATTTTATGAATGTGCAAAATGATACACAATAGATAAATGAATCCTCATTCATCTTTCTTTTTGTGTGTGTGTGTAGAGAAAATAAAAGAATACTCCAATGTTTGCACTACATAGTCTGAAAAGACAAAAATATTAACTTTATAATAAGTATTAACAGACATGAAACAACTGCTGAGTAACGTCAGTTTCTTATCATGCCAGATAAAATAGTCAAAGATGGCACCTGACTATCTGTTCCTATACCCAGAAATTGAATCTCAAAAAAAAAAATTTCAAACAAGTACATTTAGGGAGTTTTTAGAAATCAAGAAAAAATCCAAGTTTCTTATGACAGAAAATACAAACTGACCTTTTCACTACCAAAGATCAAAGAAATTATTACTCAAACTAGGATGCCATCATAACCAAGACCTGAAGTTTTCTGTCTACAAATGAATGAGTATCATGACAATAACAGTTCTCATTAATGTAAAGTCCAGAAGCTCAAGTTAAATAAACAATCTTAGAGTTTTCATAAAAACACTGAAGAAAACCTGAAATTTCTCAAACAAACAAGGATACCCAATGACAATTACAACAAGACATTGTACACATAAAACAACACAAGTTGAAGAAAATGGCTAAGAACACATTTACCTGGAATATCAAACTTTCTGAACTACTGCTCCATTACTGACTAGAGATAATTTGATACAATTGTTTTGCTGATGACTTTACCGTGAGTCCAAGAAGGCCCTGTTGTAAAGCAGGAAATTACACTGCATTCATAAAGAACTTAGTATGGTCTAATTTTTCGTCAAGCTCAGATCTACATCAAATGTAAACTGAATAAAAACAGCACATTCAAAATGGAATTAAATAATAAAAACATGACAAATCAGATCACTTTAAAAACACTAGCCATCCAAAACTTTTATATAATTTATATTCAGGTGCTTCTCTGTATACACTATACTATCATTGTACAAGATGAAACATATTACCTTATTTTCTAAGCGAACTAATGGCATATACTACACGGGCAATTACAGACAAATGATGCCTTTGCTAATCTTAGAAACTAGAATATACAATGGGGCCCACTATATTGTGGAACTCGGTATAATATGGGTGAGCTTGGACCCCAAAATTTTCATTTAAATTTATCCTTTCATGACATATTTCCAGTCTTTTCTCAATGTGTTCAACATTGTCATCATCGTCACACAAGAAATTTAATAAAAAAGAAACTTTATTCTCAAATTTTCCCCTTTCAGGTCACACTATATATAAAAATATTATTTAAAATAAATATGATATTTAACATTCACAAAGCTTTTCTTTATTATAATTGCTACATTGTTATTTTAATAATAAATTTTTGATGATAAAACACGTAGTTAGATTTAGAATCAGCCAATGAGATCACAGCCTCATGACTAATTAAGGGGCTTAGCCAATAAAATTTCCCTATCATAATTAAATGCCATATTTCTCCATATACCTGTGGATCAAATTTAGGATAGGGCCACCTATTTCTGGACTGACATCTACCCAACAATCAATAAAAAACTTTATTTGAATCAATTGTCTTCATTTTGTTACCAGTAGTCTGTTTACATCAGATCAGATGGTTTCTGTGTTTATGAGGCTGTCTTAATCAGTTTATCTGTAGTTGTGCATCATTATGGCTACTCACTTGGCACTTTTGAAAGGACCTCCTTATAATGTGGTTTTGCGACATGGACCCCATGATCCTCTTTATAGCAGGGCCCCAGTGTACCAACTCTGACAATTCTTCTGTGTACAATATTGATCAAAAAGAGAAAAACAGGATACTTATAAGGTAATGTCTTCCATCATTTTGTAACCACGTCTTACACTCACTACCTAACTATTATGCTCTAACAAAACCTGAAAGCCAGATAAGGCCTTTGCCTCTAAACATACAGCAATGATTTCACAGGTAAATGGTTAAGAAATTATCTTAGCTACTTTAATGTTGATAGATGTATGAACCAATTAATGAACACTGCCAAATAAGCAATATACAAAAGAGTTGAAGAAAATTAACTGATCTTAAAAAAAGGAATAGAATATGCATATATGGTGCCTGTGAGTTAGAAGTATATCAGATTTATACAACTTTTAAGCATACTAAATCCAGGATAAAACTGCAATTTGCAAGTTATAAAGCTAACTAGAATAGGTGTAAGGAAGTAATTACCACAAAACAATTACACAGAGTTCTAAGTATAAGTAGCTAGCAATACAGTGATGGATTTGAAAAATGGAAACAAAGATAAGTAGCTTGGGTTACCAGAAGCAGAACCTAATAGAAAAAACATACACCTATACTTAAAAATAAGTATCATGTAAGGTTTAACGTAATCATCTCGCTACACACTTAATGAAGTATACAAAACAGTACAGATTCATGTCCTAAGGATGTTCACAGGTTGTATTATCATAGGCTAATGTCTTCTACTGTCCTATAACTTCACCTACTCAAATTTAACAATATACCAATGACTACAACACAGTATATTAAACTAGGTTTAATTGCATTAACTTGTAGTCACGTCCATTCAATTTCCTACTGTTTATAAACAAGTATAAAAAAAAAATAACAAGATTATACAGCATCTGCTTGTTTCCAAGCACAATAACACATCCAGTTTCACATAGTCTGTGCTAAATATACACTTGAGAAGAGATTTATTGAGGTGTGTGTACTTTCACACCATATAATCATCATAGCAGAAATAAATATGGAGGTACTTGTATATATTAGATGAATGCTGACTTTTTATGCTTGCCTTTACTTGTAACTTTATTTCAGTAGTTCATCGAGCAAACTTGATGCTGCAAGCTCAACATCCCAGTTCATGGTCTGGAGGACCTGTTCACATCGTGAGTGAGAAGCTACTCCTAACCGAAACAACTGTTCTACCTGTAAGTGTCTTACAGTGGATTTCAAGTCCAACCGATTCCTTTGGAGTGCTGCTCGGCATTCTTCCCTTCTGACACCTCTCACAGCTTCCTGTACTGCAGGAATCAAACGTTCCAGCAGTGCATCTCTGTCTTCATTAGAATTCTTGCTCTGACATGTTGTGTAAATAACAGAATCTGACTCAAGTAATCCCATCATTCCAAAGTTTCTATTTGTCTGTTGGCTGGTTGTGGAAATACCTATTTCATTCTTGAAACTGTAGGGAGGGTTTATGAGAAATGGCTTTACTTGAGCCATATTAGGCGCTACACGAGGTAGAGGTGGAGCAGATAAAGATGAATGAATTTCCGATACATCCTCTGGAAAACGAGAAATGGTTTTACCTTGTGGAACCGGAACCTGTTGGATATAATTCTCATTATTCTCACCTTTTGTTGAGAATTGTTGTAAATTAGTGACTTTTGTATTTGTTTCTTTCTGAGACTGGCTCAGCTTTTTTTCAAGTTCAGCAACCAGTTCGGATTTCATGTGGACACTTGATGGACCAGACTCTTTATTTCCTAACAAATCAAAGCTGACTTCACTCACTTTGTCACTTAACCAGTCAAATGCTTGATCACGCTTCTGACGAAATTCTGTAGGATTTCTTAAATAGGCCTGTTCTATTGAGGAACCCGTGTTGCTTGATGAGATTTCATTAACACAGTTAGGAACTTCAGAAGTGGATGTGTTTGTGTGTACTGAACTAGAAGCTAGAAACTTTTCCCAAATGGAGTTACTCACTTCTTCCTTCCCACAACATTGTGATGTTTTTTCAAAAACTTGTTGATTATCAACAGGCACAGTAGAATAATATCTATCTACTTGCAAGTTAGGTGGAGAAAGCGAAAATGGGAGATTATAATACTTAATATCAGTAATTTCTTCTTTGTTTGTATCAGATGACATTTCTGATATAAGAGAATCAAAAGAGCTCAGTGAGGATGGTCGTTTTGATGTAGCGATATCAACATTACTATATACTGGAGTGTCTTGACTGACATCAGCCACCAGAGATGTTACGCTCTGGGACATTCGGTCCTTGTTGCTTAGAGGTCTGGTAACTGTAAGTGTGTGAACAGATTTTACAGATATGGCATCATTCAAATCTATTAAAAGCTCCTCTTTCACAGTCTCTTTCTCCTGGTTTTTTTTCAAGTTTCTAGAAGATCCTGATTTTAAAGACTCAGCTTTGCTTCTGAAACGAAGTTTATTTTCAGACCTTTCTCTTGGCTTGCCTACTTCTTTAAGTGGAGTCTCATTTTCTAATCTGTTGTAATTGAACTGCTTGTATGAACCACCTTTTGCAATGGTTGCTTCTAGGGTTTCTGAAAATCACAATACACATTTGAATTACTACACTGCAGCATTATAGTGTTTTTCCTTCAATATAAGATTTTTCATTACCATGAAGTAACTGCACATTTGTTTGAGAGCCTTATCTACTATAACTACCTATCATGGTAACATGAGTGTATCATGAAGTAACTGCACATTTGTTTGAGAGCCTTATCTACTATAACTACCTATCATGGTAACATGAGTGTATCATGAAGTAACTGCACATTTGTTTGAGAGCCTTATCTA